CGCCTCCAGCCTGAACTCTCTGCCCAGAGCGACGTGTCCCCTGGGCCCTGCGAGCGGCACAGACCCTCTGCCCCGGCGGCCCCCAGCCCCGGCACTGGCCACAGAGCCCCTCCCAGAGCCCCAGGGGCGCAGGTGTCCCCAGCTAGCAACTGCCCCAGCCTCCCCCCGGCTCCTCCTGCCCAGCCCTGGGGCAGACGCACTGGGGGTCTCACACCCGGCTCTGCAGGCACAGCAGGTTCGGCTACACAGCCAGGCAGCACCTCCCAGAGCCGGAGGGGGCGGGCAGACCAAGGTTTGTGGGGCTCCTGCTACAGCACAAAACCAGCCGTAAAGACCTTCCGGCTCAGGCTGGAGCGGGGGTTCTGAAGCCCGGGGACTGCAGGGGAAGTTCAAACCCAGGCTCCAGCCCTAACCCCAGCATCTACCCAGCCGTGTTTAATGCTGCAGGACAAACCCCACCAGCTGGTGTCCATCTTGCTGGCTCTGTGGCTCACCAAGGAGGCTGATGGCAGCACGGCCCAGACACACTCCAGCTCGTGGGACATTCGCTCTCCGAAGCTGGTGTCTGGCCAGGAACCCAGCACACTGCACGGAGGAGGGTCAGAGGGAGAAGCCAGCCAGGGGTTTCAGACGCCCCATGGCTTATCTGTGATACCTGAGCCCCACCCCCAGACTCACAGCTTGGCCGTCTGGGGCGCTGGAGCGGCTCCCTGCAGGACCCTGAAAGGACACCCCTGGGAATGATGCAGCCAGTGGTGCTAGGGCACAGCCGGCACTTTGGGCCAGGGCATTGGGGCAGAAAGTAAATGGGATTCAGCATTTCTGGGGGTCCCGGGAGCGGGGTGTGACAGGCACTCAGACGGGGGGGCTAGTGAACAGCTCTGCCATTTGCAGACCTAGACCCAGGCTTCTTAATGGACCTGCCCAAGCAAGAGGAGCAGCCCAGTGACAGGCTGCAGGGGCCACTGGCAGAGCAGGACAGAAGCCCCCAGCATATGGCCCTAGATAGCAGTCGGGACCAGACACTGACAAAGCCCAGGGGTCAGCAGAGGAAATTCTGCTCCAGCTCCCCAGAGGCCTGGCAGCCACGGACGACAAAGCTCCAGGACCTGGTGAGACACCCACGGCTCCTGCACGTACCGAGCGCCCAGCACTGCCCCACAGGGAGCAAGCGGCAGCTGGAAGGGCCCAGACCCCTGGCCAAGGAGCCTGACCCCGGAGGAGCAGCCCAGATGGAGACTAGAATCGCCCCAAGCTGCTTCCTTCACAGCCTGGGCCTCCTGCTCCCCAGAGCTCCTGGCCCTGTAGCGACCACCTACTGTGCAGCCTCCATCGGCCCGGACACACAAACCGGGCGGGGCCCCTTTGACTGCCCCTGCTTGAGGGCGGAGGGGAGGGCAGAGCGGCAGGGGTAGGATGAAGGGGCCTGAGCACCACTCCCAGCCAGAGCTCTCCGACCCCTCCCAGCCCCCCTCCCTCTGCTGGAGCTTCCTCTCTTCCCCCCTCGCTGCCACCTGTCTGCCTTTGGGCTCAGGGAGGGAGGGGAGGGGCTGGATGGGGGCAGCTCAGGCTCAGACAGCGACAGGATCACACTGCAGAGGGATTCTCACCCACCAAGCAGCAAATCACTGACCAGCCTCACACTGGGCAGATGAGAGGCCCGTAGGGCTCAGTTGGCTCCCCAGTAACACACGGCCCATGCAGGGCACAGCAGCCAGACCGGCCCCTCCCCAGACCAGGGAGCTCGGCCGGCCCTCGCCATGTGCTAAGAGAGAGGCACAGACACGTCCTCTGTAACCCGTCTGCGCAGCCCCCAGCACATTGGCTCAGGCCAGGCCTCACAGCACCTGCTCAGTGGCCCCATTGACCCAGGCAGGAAAGGTCAGGGTGTCGGGATGATGGGGCTAAGTCAGATGCTCAGCTTGCCCCCCCGGAACACACAGGACATGGCAGAGTGCAGCAGCCAAACCATTCCCTCCCCAGCCCAGAGAGTTTGGCTGGCCTGGGCTAATGGGGCTGTGGCAATGCTGAGCAGGGGCCACCCAGCACAGCTCTCAGCATGTGCCAGGAGAGAAGCTCAGACACGCTCCAGGACCCATCTGTGCAGCCCCCCCAGCACGTGGGCCCAGGCCAGGCCTCCCAGCACCTGCTCAGTGGCAGCAGGCAGTGAACTGTCAGGATGTTGGGGTGATGGGGCCAGGTCAGATTCCTGGCAAGAACCAGCAGGTGAGTGTGAGCAGCAGGCAAACTTCCCAGCACTGAGCCCATCTGCCCCCAGCTACCGCACAGCTCCCAGCTGGGTCCACGTGTGTCCTGGGGCCCCAGGCTCTGCCCAGAGCCCCCGGCACCAAACAGCTCGATGTCCCAGAGTCTCCACTCACCTGCAAATCTGTTCAGAGCTTCCCTCAGGTCCAGACACATTCTATACCCATTCCTCAGATCAGTGCAAATAGGTTCGGGTCTCGGGAGTTTCATGTTTTCACTCCTAGGATCATTACAGGGCCCCCCCCAGGAATATGAGGGCAGTGAAAATAGGACACTGCTCAACGTGCTTTTCACGTCCTGAAAGGAGAAAGAGAATCAATGCTCTGTGTTAAACCGGGGGCATAAACCAGAGCGATTTCCCAGCAGCCTTTCATCTAGAGAACAGATTCATTCCCCCCCACCCTCCTGGGCTTCACTGTTCTGTGGCAAAACGTCCTGCGTTGTTTTGCATTTACACTCGATTCATTGTTTGTAGGTCAGACGGGAATTTAATTAAATGGTTCTTCCTCCTAGGGACCCCACCCCTGTATCTGTGTTTAGCCACTGTGTTGAGTCCAGTGCTCTGGAGTCACAGCAGGGATGGGCTTAGCCCAGTATCATTTTTGCACCAAACATTTAAATCTCCCAGGGACTCCATGAATCTCTGTGATTCCCCTCCCACCCAAACTGCACCGTTTGGAATCGAGGGAGCCCTTGGCTGGATATTGTCTGTGAGCACGGTACACAGCACGTTTATTCTCATCCTGGGGATCCAGGCCCATGGGTCTGAGCTGTGATTCTGGGTGGGTGCAGTGTTTTGATGCCGTCTCACCTTCAGCAACTCCAAAACTGGCTGCTGACACTTCCCCTCGATCTCTGCGATCAGCTGCTGCAGGGAGGCACTTTGCTGGGAGAGTTTGGTGACCTTTTCCTGTAGCCTCTGCAGAGTCTCCCGCTCCTCCTCCGCCAGCCTCTGCAGAAGCAGCTGCTCCTCCTCCCTCAGCAGCGTGTGCAGCTTGTTAAATTCACCCGCAATCATCTCCCGCTTCGCCTGCACTTTCCTCTGGAGAAAGGAAAATAGGAAAGACACAGAGAAAACACCAGTCCAATGCTGAGTTACAGACTGGGCCTCTGCCCCTGAAGCAGGGAGAATCAGCTCTGTGTGAGGTTATAAGGACAGTTACTTCTTTGGGAAACACACCAGGAGGTTTCAGTGAGGTAGCTGTGTCAGGCTGCTTCAGCAAACACACCAAGAAGACCAGACTCCTTGTTGTTTGTACCATAAAGGGCTGGTTTTAGCTCAGAGTGAACAGGGCCAGTCCCGTGGTGGGGTTGCCCAGGGTGCTAGGTAAAGCTGCCATCTGTTATTGCAGGTGGCATGGGATGGACACGGCAGAGGGAAGAAGTCGAGGGAACAGGAGAGATGTACGGAGGCGTGGGGGGGAGCACAAGGCATCTGCAGGGAAGGAGAGTTGGGTGCGCAGGGCTGGGCAAGAGGACCCGTGTAGGGTAAACTGAGGCAGCCCTAAATGTGCTAGTAGGCCTCTAAACAGCATAACTCCATTCTAGGATTAAGGCCTGGGAACACCACAGTCAGGATAAGAACTGCAGACAGTAAAAGACCCTGGGCACCATAGCAACCACGTTCTAAAACACTCGAACTGGGTCTCAGTTGGTAACGTAACACATTTTGCTTGAGATAACATTCATAAAATTTGCTTAAACTGTCTTGCTTCACTCCTAGATAATAAGCCTGAGAACCAAGTGCTGCACCAACTCAAGGCCATACCCGCCTCCTATAGCAACACCACATGACGGCAGCAGAGGCTGGGACCCACCCTGGCTTTGGTTGGTCAGGGGGTATCCCTGTGATGGCACCATGTGCAGACACACCTCAACTAACTTTGATCTGCCAGAGCAGATTCATACCCTCATCCTGGAGCTTTCTGACTCCTTCACCCCTGGGAGCGCTGCCGGGGGAAGGGCTCCGGGAGAGAAACCCAGACACCCACCTGCCACTCTGTGGTTTTCTTCTCCTCTTTAGACGTCAGCGCCCGGGCCTCCTCCAGCTGCTTCCTGAGCGGGCCCAGGGCCCCCTGGAGTTTCTCCTGCAGGGCATCATGGGTGACAAACAGCCGTTATCTGCCTGTCCGAGGGGCGGCGAGGACC